CAAAAGTATAAAAGAAAGGCTGATCTATTAAGTGTTAGGTTTAGAAGTAGGGGTTAGAATTGACATTGAAACGGATTTTGATATAGAGGATTGCATATACGGGTATTAAATGGGGCAAGTCGAGCTCGAATCAGCTCTCCTCTACTATAGAAACATAAAATTGAAGTAGAATAATTCATATAGTTTACTTTGATTAACATACAAGTATATATAAATCCACTTGAGAAGAATAATATATATTTTACAAAATTGTCAAGAATGTGTAGATAAGGTAACTCTCCTTTGAAGTGTTAGGGGAGAAAAATCAAGAACGAGATGCTAATAAGTCATCTCATGGCAGTTCCATCTAGAGATTCAATGACCAATACCAGGACTAGGAACAGACACTAAATTGCGATCAACATGTCCAGCCTGAATCCCAAAGAGTTTTCCACCAGTAACCACAACATTACCTCTTTCACTTGGGGAAGAAGGTGGAATAGTGCCCTTTGGAAGGGCACTCATTATTAAACTTTCCTCCAAAGTAGATATCTTATCCTCAGGAAAATTTCGTGCTTCCAACGATTGCGCAAAACAAATCAGTACGACAAACAGAATAAGCGAAAGTCGTGTATAACATGCCATGTCGAGCTCGGTTGGATTCAAATTAGTGAAAAGCTTGAAGAATGGAATGGAGTTGTGGAATGCCAAAAATGGTGAGGATTTGCAGGCTTATATATAGATATAGTTGGCTGGCTAGGTCAAAGAGTTGAAATTGAAGAAAGAATAGTTTTACGATTCTAATTTTGTGATGCCTCCTGGAAAAGTTGTTTAGGTATAAATGAACTAAGCCGCCTGCAATTTCAATGTATCCTCCAATTATTTTGGCGTGTGTTCATTTCACTTGGATGAACCTTTGAAGTGTTGGCAATGTCAATGGGGTCCTAAATCCATAAGGGTGCTTATCATCTACAGTCACTTATAATTTGTACGCAAACTTGACTGCATAATTGAGTCACTTTTAGCATAAAGGACCATTATAGGATCACACGATTGGTAACTGATATAACAGTGTTCTTGATTTACATAATTTTTGACGTTTAGACAGGAAAATATGGATTGACTATGAACAATTAATTTATCTTTAAAAAAAAAGAAAAAAGATTATGATATACGATGGAGAATTATATTAATTAGATTATAAAAATGTGTACGACCAAAACAAAGTTTTACTAGATTATGAAAATACAATTTAATTTAGGCAATAAAAAAACAAAAATGGAAATAGATTGATGACTTTCTTCATGTGCAAGACTTGGAAGACACGACATTCAAAAAAGACAAAAAGGTGGGCATAAATACAAGTCAATAGCTGCTTACCCCAATACAATTGTGTATATAACTTGGTTGACATTCCATTACTATATCACTAAAAATATTACGTAAGGGCTTGTTTGACAAGATTTTTAAAATGTTAAAAGTTATTTTTTAAGCTATTAAACATGTTTAGAAAATTTTCTAAAAGTGCTTTATTTGATTGGAAGAGTTTTTGGAGGAAATTGGACTAAAGTAATTTTCTCAGAAAGCTTTTCTATAAGAATCACAAATAAAAGCAAAAGTCCTTCCAAATGGACATTAAGTGCATGTATGGTAGTCATTTTTTTGAAGAATGTAATGGAAAAATTATAGGAAAACATAAAAAATAATTTTTTGGAGGATGTATAGTTAAAAATAATTCACTTGACGCTTCGAAACAAAAGGGATTTTAAGGAGAATTGTCATCCTCGTCAAATTAAGATTACATTAAAAAATTATGTTACTTCTACATGAAAAAGTACACAAGTAATTTCATAAAATGATGTGGAGAGAAAAGATTGAATAAAAAATTGACAATATTTTAAACTGATAAATGATAGAGTGATATGTGACTTTATGTAACCCATTATATAAATTTTGATGTACATATAGTACATTAGATGTAATAAAATAAACAGAGGCTGCAGAACTAAGATTTTATTCTTAATAAAGAGCTAAGATTATCTTTATATTTAGTTGAAGCAGAAAATGGATCTTGTCAAAGAGCACCCCTTTGTCTTTATTAAGAGGAATCATCATGTAAAGGCTAACTGCTCTCATTAGAATTCTTAAGTTAGAGATTTGAATAAACTTATTCATTTAAATTATGTCTCAATTTTCAATGCATAATATGTAAATTAAATTCACTTTTTCATCAAATGTTAAATTTAGAATCTTGTGTAAAAATGTAAGTTGTTAAATTTACTCGCTTAATTTGTTATATAAGTGTGCAACACTCTCTCAACTTTTATGTTTTTTTATTAATTATGTAAATTATTTTTGAAACTATGGCAACAGGACTATAAAATTTCCTAAAATAGTAAACAAAGTATTAGTTAATGATGATGTTTTTAAAATCTTGTTCAAATTCTACATATTAAATGGACATTTGAGCAGCTGCATCTGTCTAATGTGAGCCAGAAATTAAAGGGCTTTCAAGCAAACCGGCAAAAAGCTCAGTTGGATCATTGAAAATTTCTAAGCTCAGTTGGATCATAGTAAATTTCTAACATCTTATCAACATTGAGAATTCTATAGTAAAACGAATCTCATAATTTCCAGTGGTTGGGAAGGTGATTGGGAATGAAAGCACGTATCTTCTTAGTTAATGGCTTATTCATTCTCTCTTTCTTCTAGCTACATCGATGAGATATCCATTCAGGTGCTGGCTGAATATCTTGGTAGAGAACGACTCTGTTACATGCTTTCGTGCTTCTCCGCCCATTGTCTCCGACATTTGAGGATCACGAATAAAATTGGCCATAGCCGTAGAGAACTCTTGAGGGCAAGGATCACATAGAAAGCCCGTCACTCCGTTCTTTACAGTCTCAACTGGACCACCACTGTTGCATGCAATAACGGGTTTATGGGCTGCCATTGCTTCCAAAGGAACAATGCCAAAATGTTCATCCTACATCCATTATGTTGACTATGAAAAAGGAAATTATATAAAAACCAGTCAAATTGAAGTGACAATCAGATTATGCCGCACCTTAGGTGTATAAAGAACACATAGGCATTCAGACAGAAGAGTATTTCTTTCAGTAGTAGTACAGGATGTGATGAACCTGACCAGGTGAGACACGCCTTCTCTGTCTGCCAAGTTTTTCAGTTCCTCCAAATACTCAACATTCTCTCTGAGCCGTTTATCAAAACCACCTGACATTGAAAGAGAAAAGAAAAGTGTATGAACCGTCGGCAATGTGCATGAACTAAACAATTATCATCTAGATATATTATTACATTTCTTAAACAGACAACATACCATAATTGGTCAAACACGAAGAGTAAATAAGGGCAAAAGAGCCCGCATGCAGCCATGCACAGTCTATTGATACAGTAAGAACATAGTATGATACACTAATTTTGACCGTCTCTTCTCCAAATGTCTTTTGGACTATATCAAACGTTAATCATATGCTGTCCACAAATATCACTATTTCACTGAAGAGAAAAATTTATACTTTTACTTACAAAAAGCCCCAATGTTGGAATAGCAACCAATAATTTCATAGCTGATGTGAATGGTACTGGCAAAAACAGTCCCAATCTCCTAGAAATGGGAATATTCCGTTGGATAGTTTCCGGTGCATAAAGAGAAAACATTACATTAACAACATCATCAATGATTTAGGGTTTATTAATACCTGCCTGCCTAATTCCACCCAAACCCCAACTAGAAACACCAGTGTTTGGGCGTCAACTGATCATCAGATGGTAAGTGGACATATGTTGGTCAACGATTTTTTGTTGTCTCTATTACATGATAAAAATTCTAAAAGGAAAGAATGAAGCGCAAGTTTATAATATAATCTTACCACAGAGCGGAATGCTTGTGGTACAGCAGTATACCAATAAGAAAATTAATCTTATGCAAGAGATGTTTTTATGATAGAACATACTTCATAAATTCAGGAAGAAATAGATGTGGTGTATACGATGCATAAGATTCACCCGAAAAAAACAGATAAAGCTCACCCGCAATAATCAAGGAAACTCCATTTTTATTGTCACCATGTATGATATTCCGTGGATCAGTGTAAAGCATAGCGAAGGCAGATATAGCTAACTCTATGTTTTTTTTCCTTTCAAACCGATTGATGGACAGAAAATTCAACCTAAAGCAATGTACACAAGAACTTAGACTGCTAGAATATAGAGAGCTTTTTATTCATTATTTATCTGCTTGTTTCTTCGTCTTTTAGCAATTAGCAAGTTCAGAGACTTTTGGGGTTGGGGGACAGATGCATGAAGAATAATTCATTTTTAATCAATCCTAGAACTAGAAGATGCCAAGAGATAAAAATCGTCTCTCTTAACTTGTTAGTAGTAGGTTTCTCGAACTGATCCACATTGACGGCAGGGTAAAGAACAGAAGGTCTTATTCCTCGTGCATGTAGATGCTTGAAAGTCTTTGCAAAAGTAGATGCGGTGAATCTGCTGTTAACAAGAATTAAATCCGCCATACCTATTTCAGAAAGTTTATCTAAAAATCAGAACTGAATTGAGCAAAAGGAGAAAAGAAAAGAAAAAATTATGCACAGTAAATACAGAGCAAGTTAATTGCCACACATAAATGTGAAGCTCAAGGAGACCTGTCGTTATTTCTTCTATATAGTCTATAGGTTTCCGATATATTTTCCGCAGAACAGTTGTGTGTTGAGCAAGCAAAAGATCTGGAAAATGGCAATAGAATACGACCTAAAAAAAAATAAAAAAAATTCATTGGTCGCTATTAAATAATTTTGAACTCAAAATTTGTTTGAAATATAATGAACCTTTGATGACTTTTTCAACTTCATGAGTGGAACGACAACAGAGACCTGATCTGTGAGTATAATATCAAAAGTAGGATGCATAAACAATACACAAAGCGCAACAAAAATACACCGAAGATATGCACACACTGCGTGAAGACAATAGAAAACATGCCGCGGTAGGAAGGCACCATAGACTGTAACCGGAAAGATACCTGCACAGTATTCGTTTTAGAAGGATCTAAATTGCCTAAAAAGGAAAAAGCAGCCAAAAAATAAAATAAAATAAAATTTGTAGCGAAAAATAAAGAGAACCCTGTACCAGAAACAGTCTCCTCAAAACAGCGAGATTTTTCATGGTGCGATGTGAAGACATGAACATTGTGCCCACGTGTTGCAAGTTCTACAGCAGCGTCTACAATTAATCTCTCCGCTCCACCTGAGTATCATGGTTTTGGCAAGGTGATTACAGTAACTAATTTTCGTATGTAGATGTAGGGAGGTGAAAGACAAATTAAATGGCATCAGATAAAGTCATGTGTGAACTATTAAGCTTGTCGAGATTTAGAAATTAATGAGACAGTAAATTCTTGTACATACGTGTAATTAACCGCTGATCTTCATATAAAAAAAATGCCAATTTGGCTCGTTGGGATGTATAAAGGTATCAAAAAGGAAAGGACTTCAATGCTAATCTGAACAGATATATCATCTGGACTGAAATATTATCTCTTTGCAAGCTAAATTCCTAAAGATGTGGATGATGTCCACAGAAAAAATGGATCCTGTAAAATTCACTTATCCTAATAGACATCAGACATTGTTTAGGCTTGTAATCTCACTTCTCACAATGTCATGATGACAGTTCATAAAGAGGAAGCTCTTAAACATTCCAACACGGATAAGAATGAAAATAGAAAATAAAAAAAAAAATTGAAAAAATTATACCCCATACAGTTAATTCTATTTAGAGGCATTGCCTAAAAAATATAGCTCCTAGCAAACCTTAATCAGATGTTACCCAATTCTCATCTTCGGCATCTCAATCACGCCCGTAATATGATCAAAAATTAAAACTAAGAAAAAAATTAAACTTTAACAGTCTATTTTTGTAGGGCTTATCAATTTGACCATTATGATCCTAAATTAAAATCCGAAAGGAAATATATTTCCAATGACACCAAAACACAGAAACCCAAATCAAATATTTCATTTAAAAGAAAGCGTTCAAAATTTCAACGGCATGAAACAACTGAAACAATCAAAAGCTGAATTAAGAAAGCAAAATAAATTAGAAAAACAAAAAATTTGGATGTTAGGAAAACAAATACCGATTCCGAGATCCGGATGAATTATTGCGATATTCAACTTTGAGCTTTCTTTTTTCTCCATGGATTGATGGTTTCCTTGAGCTTCAGAGAAAAATATAAAATCTACTTGAGGAAAAAAACTAAAAACTAAAAACTCACGTCTCAATTAAGAGTTAATTTCAACAATAGTAACTGAAGTTTGAAAGAAATTTCAAATTGGTTGGTAAATTATTTTCTTACTCTATCAATTACTAAAACTTATACCGGTTTACAAATAATAGCTTAGTTTACAAAATTAATAATAATCCGACCTACCATCATAAGGTGCCATAGTGGATTAACGTGACACTCATTTAGTCCATGTTTGAATAGGGGTGACAATCGAGTTAAGCGACTCGTCGACTCGATCACTTAGCTCGTAAAAAAAGAGCTCGGGGACAAATTGGGCTCGTATTAGGACGAGCCGGAGCACGATCTGAGCAGGGTTGCTCACTAAGCGAGCCGTACCCACTTGACTCACCCACGAGCCTAAAATTCACAAGTTCGTGGGTAGATGGGCCGAGCCGAGCCACCACTAGTATTGAGAAGTGTTTATAAAATACTTCGGATCAAAATCACTTTTTATTTATACATTTCGTAAAAACTATAAATACTATCCACTTTTTCACAACTTATTTTTACATGTTTATAAACACTTCCCGAATGTAGTCATTTGCTTGGATAAAATATGAATATTAATCATCTTCAAGATTGGAATTCTCTTTTTTCCTTATTATCACTTAGTCTGAGTTAATTAGGAATGACAAAATATCTCATCATGCCAATGGGGTTGGTGGGAAAAGGAAACATGGTCTTGCTCCAAAGTCACTTCAAATCATAAATAAAAAAAAAATATTAAAAACAAATAAGTAAATGTGGCCGTAAACAAAGAAAGGATAAACATGAATGCAGGAAAAGAAGGAATAAACAAAGAAAAATGCTAAACGACCCACGGGGTTGACACCACGGCTGACCACTCTCGCACATGTCGAGGTGGGTCCCATTGAATAAAATAATACCGACCTTCTCATGTGTGTGGGGTGTCAACCCGACGATCAAGCTCGTGGGCTATGTAGCACAACCCATAAACAAATAGAAAAAACGTAAGAACAGACCTTTTGCTTAGCAATATCGTAGTAATATACATATCTAAGTGTTTCGCGCGGGTTAGTCGCTAACAATTAAAAGGGATCAGACGATTGTGTAAGGGACAAATCTCTTGAAACAAAGTCCCAAAAAGGAATGTTCTTTTATTGGCGATGACTTTACAATTGGAAATCAAAAACAAAATGCCTCCAAGGGGCGCAAACACATGAATTACTGAAAAAAGTGTTTAAGTCTAAACTAAGGAAATTAAAATTACATGTTCTCTGTTCGAGAGTTTTTGATTCGGTCCTTTGCTCTATGTCTTTTCTCCCTTTTATACTCCATGGATGATCTTTTTTGTGATCAACCGCCTAAAAACTGCTTGATCGTTCTGCAACTGCCCACTTTCCTCATAATGGCCAGCTTGTCATGAAAACTGCCTTTTTTAACTGCTGCCATTACTCTTCGTTGTTCAACCGTTTTCGATTGAATTCCTTGAATCGTGGAACGTGATAGGGCTGCTTTAATAACTGCTTTGATAACTGCACTTCTTGATAACCACAACGCTTTATGTTTGTTAAGACTTTGGGCGACTTGAAGGTTTGGGCGAGAATAGAGTAACAGCTCTGGGCGACTGTATGGCACTCCATTCGCTCAGATTCTGGGCGACTTACAAACTTGGGCGATGGCATTACCGCGTTCTTGGGCCTCCCCATTTGAGCTTTCATCTTGAATTGTTTGATTGGGTTTCGTTCTTTGGGCTATCTGATTTGGGGATCCTCCAATTGGGCTTCATTTCTTGGGCCGTTCGATTTGAGCTGAATTTTTATGTGTCAACAATTACCCCCCAATATGGCAGAATTAATAATAATTATTAAATTTTGCCATATTCACTTTGTGTTTCCAGCAACATTCGAGATTTTCAAGAATTTCAATCATTATTTTCTTCCATAACTTGAAAAGGTGCGTCGTTTTGCAAACCCTTATAACCCCCAAACACGCCATTTCACTGCACCATTAAATCACGCCTCAAATTTTTTGTGTCTCTCCCACGATTTACTGTTCATCTTTTGCTTCCCTGCTACGTAACCCTGAAAAACTTCGTTCCATCTCAAATGGCTATTTCACAATCTCAAGCTGGCGACTCCTTTAGTTTTGATGACTTTCAGAAACTTCTGAGTCATTCATACATAACTCCGAGTTTTCTCGCGCCTGCCGATGTCGAACGCAATGAGTTCTACTTAGGTCCTTTCTTCAACAATGCGGAGGCAGTTGAACAGGCGGCGGTGGGTCAGCTGTTTCCTTGTACTCAAGGCCCTCCATTTCTAAACTCTCTGCCGCTGGGGCCACTTCGCGAAAGAGGTATTCGCACTTGGCCTAAATCTGATGTAGCTTTCCGAAGGTGGCATGCTCGTCTTGTGGGCCATGGTCCTACTAAGGCACTTTTTGATAATGTTAGGATTTCTGATTTGTTAGAAATCTCTATTCGCCTCCCTACTTTTGATTCAACACTTTTTTCGATTGCTTTGAGTTTTTGGTTTTCTGAGTATAATACCTTTATTTTCCCTCTTGGCCCCATGTCTATTACTTTAAGGGATGTTGGGGCCTTAGTGAATCTACCACATTTGGGCGATACCATTTTTCCTGGTATCGTGGTTTTTGGTGGCGCCCGAAAGTTTGGTAGAAACTACACCGAGTCTTATTCAAGCCTGCAAACCCTTCACAATCATTCAAGCGCTGAGCCTTCCCATACTGAGCGAATGGCTTTTCTTCTAGTTTGGCTTTGTAAATATGTTTTGTGTGTGCCAAGCATAAAGCCCTCCCTGAGTTATTTACCCATAGCGCATGAATTGGCGCGTGGCAGGCCTTTGAATTTATGTTCTTTTTTTTTGGCTGCCCTTTATAGAGGCATGACCTCTCTTTAAACTCAATTGAAGAATGGTGCATCTCCCACTGGTAGTGGACCTCTTTGGTTCACTCAACTGTGGTTGAGATCCTATTTTCCATTGCTTGGTACTCCATCAATTTCTCGCTCCTCTGCTAGCTGTTATGGGCTAGCCATGGAGCCCTTGGCTTCTGTAAATATGTTAAGAAGGGACATTTTTTCATTCTTTTATTCTTTGGATTCAATCTCTTCCTTTTTTCCTTTTCCTCCTTTTTTGACTTCAGACTATGTACATCCCCCCTCCACTGTAGACAGCGCGAGCACCTCCTTGCTCTTTTGGATCCAATTTTTAACCGGGAGGGAGCTATTTTATGATATTTTAACTGGGACCAATGTCAAGGCAGGGGTAGAAATTTATGCTCCCCAATTTTTTGCTCGCCAGTTTGGTTTCGGCCAAACTTGGCCTGTTCCTCCTTGCTATTCAAAGAACTTAATTGATTGTTTTCATATTATTAATAAAGCGGAGGCAGAGGCTATAAATGCTCGCAATCTTCTTTTAACCAGCTATTTTTCATTAGCCCCCTTCAATTCTAGCCACGCCATCCATCCTCTTTTTGAACAGTTCTGACCGTCAATGAAGCGCAGATTATTTACGGCTGATGCCAATCGTGCCTTTCATTCACTAGATCAGCCGAGCATTTCTTCCCCTCTTCCTGTTTTAGTCACTCCTTTGTCCATTCGGAGTCCTTCTCCTCCTCGTCGCACTAAACAGTCTGCTCGTCCATCTTCTTCTCTCTCTGTCAAACCTACTACAGCCAAGAGTGCCCCAAGCCGCAAACGGCCAGCCTCAGCATCTCCCATTCTGGAGGATGATGTTGATGATGATGATGATGATGATGATACCCCTCTTATCGTCAGGAGGAAGGTAATTAAATTGGTTTACTCACAAGCATACTTTTCCATACTTGAAACTTTTCTGTGTGCTGATTATTTTTTGGACTTCTCAGAAAAGTTCAGCCTCTCCTTCAAAGGCTTTGGCATCGACAGCTCCTGCTCCATCATCCTCCGCTGAGGCTGTTTCATCCAAACCGGTTGATGAGGGGATTACGCTTAAAGAGACATCTTCAGTCCCAGAATCCTCATCACAACCCATGGATGAGCCACCTTCTTCCGAGGGCGTCAACCCCCCAAACATCGAAGCAGAAGGTAATTCAGTTTTTTGATGTCTTACTTTTGCTTGTGCTATTGGTTTCTGATTTGTTGCTCTTGAGTTTTGCAGATATTCCTATGAGTCTGCCCGTTGTGGCAACATCTTCTCGCTCATGCAATGGGAAGTCCTCACGAATGGAAGAGTCATTGGTGGCAGACTTGGCTGAGGACATGCCATCTTCCACGATTGTTGATGAGGTAATCTTTGCTTCATTTTTATTTCTATCTTGTTCGTTGTAGTGAGAATCTTTAATATTGACAATTTTCTTTGTAGGATGCTGACAAGATTGTGCGTTCTATCCAAGACTTGTTCGCTTCCTGGGGACAAGTCAAGACGTCTCGCCCTACTCCATCTGATCATCCTACTGCTTCTTCAGAGGAAGATTTGAAGTTCTTCAAGCAGTAGATATTTGAGTACGTGTCCTTCATGGATATGGATATTGGTAGGGCTAGTGCTGCCAGACACAAGGATAAACTTGAGCATTTGAATGCGAAGTTGGAGCAAGCACTGACGCTTCCGTCGTTCAATCTTTCTGTCGATTTTAAAGCGACGTTGAAGGTTATCCACTCCGAGGTCCTTTCTTTGCTGGGCAAGAATGTTGAACTAAAGGCCAAAAGTACTCAATATCTTCGAGCCGTATCTGAAAAAGAGTCTTTGCATATGGAGATCAACAAGGCTGAGGACGAGTTGAAAGAAATCTCTTCCGAAGTCATGATTGAAAACTCTTTGATGGTTAATTTGGCTGCTCAAATGAAGGAATTTCAAGCCAAAATGGACGACTGCAAGGCGAGAATGGCTGCTAAAAAGCGCAATGCCTCCCAGGGAATTGAGCGAACTAAGTCCTTGGTTGAGCAGTACAAGAAGTTAGAAGTTGATGATGATGTCGTGGCCGAATTGAACATCACTTCCTCTCGGCAGAACGAGGATTGGG